AGCAGTATTAGAAACGAAAGTAGCGTAAATAAATTCAAAAATAAACTTAAGGGGTTTTTAATTTATAGCGAATTTTATAGTTTGGAAAGTTTTGAACACTGTAACAAAAAAACTGTATGGCTAAGCAAGTAGGGAAGTAGGTGAAATCATGTGAAGTAGTTTTAGGTTGATGACACATTCATGTACACTTGTTGTATGTATTGAATAAAGATTTATTGATTGATTGATTGATTGATTGATATCTATATAAATAAAATTACAGTTTTGTATGTACATTGCTTAGAATCATGCAGTTTTTGGTTATTTTTACGTTTCATAGCCTAAGAAAGCCGAAACGAGTCTTATCTCAATTTCTGTCTGTATATCTGTTTGTCTGTTTGTCTGTCCATTCTGTGACTCCGTCTGTGACGCCAAATTGTCATTTTACGCGGCCTACTTCTAGAAGACTAGAGTACCGATCAAGGTTCTAATCATTTTTCTGTATTTACTGGATTGGTGAGAGTGTCTTGGGCTATAAAAACATGGCCTCGCTTCTTTGAAAACAAAATAACGAACAATCAAAAACCCAATTTTGTTTGATTTTTGTCAAATTTTCTCCCAATGTTTCCTATTACATTTTATGAAATAACGATCAGCTGTTTGGATTAGTTCTCACTTCTAGCTGTCACTGATATGTTTACATTAAAAGTTGTTTACAAATACCGCAACCATTTCCGATCAAGTTTTGTTAGCACATCCAAACCAAGTGAGATTAGAAACGTTGTGCCTTACTTAACCTGTTTAATTAATTGCAAGTGCAACGAGTGTTCTTGAGTTTTTATAACCGGGGAAAATACCGTGAATCAGTGTTGTATTAGTGCTGGGAAACTTACATTTTTTTAATCGTCAGTCACTAATGCTTACAAAAAGGTTTCCGCACTCATTTATGGCCCTTCAAGGACAGTTGTGTAAAGTGCAAAGTAAAAAATCACAACTGCAGTGGGTGATCGTGGATGTTGCTGCGATCTTGGAAGAACTTTCTGATTTCACTGTGATCGTAACAGAGGTTTAACTTACAGATGTAGCTAAACTCGCTTTTCCAAAGTGTCATTTTTTGTTTCTACTTACTTACATTTCGACAACGATATCGGTACATTTTTTCTACTTAGGAAGTAAAACTACAAACGTCCAAAACCCCAGATTTGTGAGTTTTTTGTCACATTTCCTCCAAATGTTTGCTAGATATAAGTATCGATTATCGATTAGAGATTACGTAATATTTTATAAGAAACCTTTGTTTGGATAAAGGTGGTTTCTTCAAACTGTCATTAATATGTTAACATTTAAAGTTAATTACAAATAATGCTATTAATGGGAAATAACTTTGATTTTCAAAAACTTAAAAAAAAATAAAACTAAGTACGAGATTATAATAACTATGGTGCCTCATATATCTAAAAAGCAAGTCCTTTTATCATTAGATAAAAAATATGGACTAACACGATCGGGTGACATTTAATTGCGAAGGATTCGTTTTGGCTTTGAAACTGTCAGATATTGTATTCGCGAAAGTTTATATGTATTCCTATACAGTAGTAGTTTTGGCAGCATATATGGAAAAATGCACACTAAATATGCAAACCAACTCCTGTTCTGAATATAAGGTATCAACTTACTACAAGATTCCCGTACGTAGAACGGGCAAACAGCTAGTTAACTTATATTTAGTTTGGCAGAGGATTGGGCCGGGCATTTTTTGGCACTTTGCAGTTTTTATGATTTTTCAAACGGGAACCTGATTTTCTGGGCAAAAACAGTAGTTGACGAAAAAGTGCCAGGGGGTGTTTAAAATGTCCTAAATAATAGTAAAAACACATTGAAAGTAGCCTACAGAAAAATAGATTTTTAGAACTTTTTGCCATTTTCAAACGCGATTTTCAGGGTGAAATAGGCGTTTGCCCCAAAAGTGCCAAATGTAATAATTATTTAAAATAGGCCAAATAATGAAAAAAAATATTTTTTTCGAAATTTGTTAGAAGCCCCTAAAGTTAACAAATACCCAGTTAAGAAACTGTACCCTAAGTTAGCCGGATTTAGCATTTTGGCACCATATCAATAATTTTGCTGCCCCCTAGTCTAGTTGAAGTTACTTTCTTACTACCTTTGTTAAAAACTATACCAGACCTATACCATAATTGCTTAAACACCACTCAACAATGTAGTATTATTGCTAGTTTTTTGAATAATTTACTTGGTTCTGGCCCTAACGAATGCCATCAACACTTTTAGTAAGTTTATGAAATAAGTAGCCTAGAGAGCTCGCGTTTGTGGGACTGAAACAAATCAATCTAACCAGCAGAACATTCCTGCAGCAAAGCAAGGCCTTTGCTGGTGCCATAGTGGCTTCAAATTTTAGGCCCAAAAACTTAAACTCCTGTAACTCCTGTACGGAGTTTAAGTTTTTGGGCCTGAAATTTGAAGCCACTACACTACATGATACCATAGATTAAACAAACTCCCTATGTAGATTTGCTATCCTTATGGATCAGCTGAAGACAATTCTTTTTATTCCAGTTATTTAAAACCTCGTTTAACCAAATAAAACGATATAATAATAAACAATAGCTTGTCCCCTGGTTTTATTACAAGAAAATAAAACACAAATCATAGAATTAACCCTTAAACAAAATCAACAAAATTTCGTCATCACTAGCACCCAGTGTCACTGCCATGAACTAGACATGAAAAACCTTTTTTTTATATTTTACATGTGATTAGAAGTCTACTTGTGTTGGTAAGTCTGATACTGCATCTAAATTATATATTACTCATAATTATTATTAGTCATATATAGTAATCCGGAGGCCATCAACATGGAATTTAAAGTAAATTATATTCGCAAGGCGAAACAAAGCAATATAAATGGTGCTTTGGAGAGTAGGTATTGCATTTTTTTAACCTATTGCAAACTCAGATTTTTTTGTTAGCCTAAATTCAAAGAGGAAGTCATAGTTTATTGAATGATACATTTTAACTTGATCCTGCAGGTTGTTGTAAGCAAATCAAATGATTGGTTGGTAACTTTTGTTTTGCGAGGTGAGGGTGGTAACAGTGTCTTAACATTGGTTACCAAACATTGACACGCGCATGAGCGCCTACCCCTCTGAGCAGTAGCGCTGAGCCAACTGGCAGTGGCAGTGGCAATACGATGCGTACCGCCAACAAACCTACAGCCTTTTCCCGTGTTTAAGACCATGTTGTAAAGAAGTTGATGCTAATGTTGAAACATTGTTTAATTTTACCAACAATTATTTCTTGCAATAAACTTAAAAATTAGAATGCTTTAATAGCCAGATTATTTAAATACCCCCGCCGCAGCAAACCTGCAGACTAAGCGAATTTCCATTTGACTGATTGGATTTACACTGAAATGTCTACTTAAAAATATAACATTTATTCCCGATTTAAATAGAATTAGTTTAACAAGTACTTAGGTTTGCTGCATCAGGGAGGGTAAAACTGTTTTTGTAAAATGTTAATAGTTAGTAAGAAATAAAAACATTTTCCAAATTTGATCAAAATATGTTCATAAACAAGCAAACTTACTCAGCAGTTTACTCATTCTCCATAAGAATAACATGGGAATTTTAAATTTACAATTTTTTGGAATTTTCTCCGTAACCATTAGGCGCATAATAACGCTTCAATATACTAAATTATTTGTTTTTTGAAGCTCTACAAAATGGTTTGGAAATAAATTGCTAAATTTTATGTTTTTTGGGTCAAAAATGGGAAAAACCTATTTTTACCCCATAAAACCCCCCGTAAACACCCGTTCCCATGGTCCGATCATGCTGGATCGCGAACTCGTTCGAATAAACGTAGGTTTACACGTTTGTACCAAATTTCATCAAAATCGGATCATTTTTGCTCGAGTTATCGTGCTGACGGACACATATATATTATATATATATATAAATATATAAATATATAAATATATAAATATATAAATATATATATATATATATATGAATTTGAACGGATGGTGTTTTTGGCCTCTAGGGACCTCAAAACGAAAAAAAAATCGGTCCCGCGTCCAGGTCTTACCATGAGTACTACGGTAATAGCTTATTCCCTATATGGGAAATTCGCTAAAAATGAGTCCGTAAATTAAGTTAAGTTATGGCTATTTATTTGTATTTGTAGACATAAAAAAAACTTTTTCTCCTTCGCCATGCGCCCCCTGGGGGCTTGCACCCATAGGCCAGGGCCTATTGGGAAATCCGACCATGGTGGCACGGTAAGACCTAGGCCCGGGGCAGATTTTCTTTTTCATTTTGATATCTCCAGAGGCCAAAAACGCCAACCGTTCAAAATGTTATATGGCCTATGAATTTATTTATGGGTACACTTCCGCAGAGAACCTATGATATACTATCGAATGAATAACGATATATATCGAAATGTATAGATTTTTATCCGGTTCGATAATAGCTTAATATCATAATGATTTTAATTTTTATTTATATAGCACCAAACCTAGATAGGCTAGGCCTACTATTTAAACCTTAGTTACCGGTAATATTATTTAAATAGATTTAATTTCAAATCAATTCAGGCAAATGGAAATATGCTTAGTCTGCAGGTTTGCTGTGAGGGGGTATTTTTTAGTGTAGGCTAACTCTGGGCGTTCAATGTTGGATGTGATATTTCAAGACTAAAAGGTTGTTGACTATCGAAGAAATCTAGCTATCGTCCTAAACACTTGGTCATTTGGAGTTTGATTTGTGGACATGAGTCCTACTCAGCCTCCTCCCGATACAACCACATACGCCTATACCAGGGCCGGCTAGAGGGCTGGCAGGGGGGCCCGAGCCCCGGGGCTCCAAAAGGGGCAATAACAGACAAAGAAGTGTTTAGTTTACAGATGAATATTTTAGGGGCATAACTTTAATTGATCTATTTTCAAATTACTGTAATTGGAAAGAACTACAATAAACTATTGAACAAACCTTTTTTAGTTAACTACAAAGTTGAGCTGTATGATCCTCGTAGTGGAGGGTTCATGCCTTCAAGCCCCGGGATCGGAATGCATGTTGAAGTAAAAGATCCTGATGCAAAAGTCATACTGTCTAGGGTAAGTTTGATTCAAATCATTAGAGGTAAGGCAAATATAAATCCTATCCATCATATTTAAAATATAAATTAATTAGGCCTAGCCTATGAAAAAAAAAACAAAGACATGAAATTAAGTCTCAAGAGACTTGTCTGGCTGGGTATATCAAGGTGTTGGTTTGATATGAGGGGAGACTTTGATTCATCACCAGTAGGGTAGTTGTATTTTGGGGGTATGGCCTTGGGGAAGGTTGTGTGGACAGGTAAATAGAGCCGGGTCATTTTGCTCGCCATTCTGAAAACATCGTAAATATGTGACTACTAGAGACGGAAAGTACTAGAGACGCGACTCCGCATAGGGGCAAACTTCTCTACCTTTGGACATCGAGCCACACATAGCGATCTTATATCACTGGAATTACTGCACTTCCTATTTAGAATGTTTTTTGTCTTTGAGAGTAAACCAGAGCGTTTCAGCCTAACAAAACAACTATGGCCAATCACATTTATCTGTAGCCTTTATATGCCCAAACTTCATACGTACATTATTTCCCATTCTTATAAATATTCTGTTGGTGCATTGTTACATGTTAATCCTCCACCTTCAATAGTCAATAGGCTAATTAATCCTTTATTTTCACATTACGTTACATTAAAAAATTCAGCAAAGCTGACATACCAATTGTCATAAAGTACAGTACGGTACTAAAAATAAAAACAAAACTAAGACTAAGACTAAAAAGACCACATAAAATTACTAAAATTAAGTCAACACATCATTTATAAAAGAGTTATTATTACATTGTAATATACCCTATTTTTGAATTTGTCTATTGTTTAACAGCTTTGATTTGTCATGGAAATTTACTATACATTTTTTCCCCAAATACTGTGGAAAATTTTCAAGTGCAGTAGGCCTGTGAATCGGCAATTGTAAATCATCTCTTCCTAGTCAAGTAATTATGATTATAATTTTCATTGGTAAAGTTAATCATTTTAGTTCTTTAAATAGTGTTTTGCATGATTGTCTAGGTCTCGAAAATGTTGTGATTCAGGTGGATTATACTTTTAGACCTTGATCACAATTACATTAAAGGGCATTTAATTTGATTACATACAAACATGCCAATCGATGACTAGAAAGAAGGGGCTGGAGTGTGTCATTGTCAATGACAAGACGTAAACAACAGCTGGACATTTTGCTAACGGCTAGTAGTACGCAACAGCCACACGCTTTAAGTCAAAACATGGTTTATTATTTGGCTGTTTCGGCCGACGTTATTCAGTCTTGACAAATCGTATCAGAAGCAGCTAAATAAAAAGACACGTTTTGCCCTTTTTTAGAGGGGTGATTAACACTCTTAAAGCTAGGCCTACTGTACAACTTTATTATATCTGAATGTGTGGCTATTAAACTACTCAATGCATGACTTCCTGCCTCAAATCTCAGGATGGTTGTCCTAACATACGATGGTTGCTATTTAAGTTTCTGGCCTTGGCAACACTGATTAGTGCTAGGCGCCAGCTAATGTTTCCGGCGGAAACCTTGCATTGTTGAACATAACCTCAAACATGACTTATTGTAATCTGTCACTATTAGTGTTTTTACAGTGATTTTAAAAGTTTATCTACACGGTGAAAAATTCAATTAACACGTGAACATTACCGTGCAATTATTTTTCACATCTTTCGTCGTGGATTATTACGAGGATCAAGGGTGCGCCGATGAACTTAGTGCCTTATATGCTTTGAATTTGCGCCTTCTTTCAGCACCGTGAAAAACTGGTACTAATAATGAGTTTAATCGTGGTGGATGTTCGCTCCAGGACAAACAGCGTGAAGGTCATACAATTTCCAAAATTGGTCTTGTGCAAGAAAACATCGATGCTGTGCAGGAACTGATAATGCAAGGTCGTCGAGTGACATACCGTGAGGCATTAGTATGACTAGTATTAATAAAATATTACACGATCACTTGGGCGTAAAAAGATTTGTTCTAAATGGATCATAACCTGACAATTGCTCAAAAGGAGGCTCGAGTCAATTGGTGTAACAGTAAGGCAATGCTCAAGAAAAGATTTGCAGGAGGTGCTTCAAAGGCTGTATGCAACATCTGCACAGATGATGAATCGTGGATATATGCATATGATCCCAAAAGCAAACAGCAATCCACTGTGTGGGTCTTTCAAGATGAACCTAATCCAACCAAAGTAGTTCATGAAAAGAGCACATTGAAATAGATGGTTGCCTGTTTCTTCGGTATTGCTGGGCATGTGGCTACAGTGGCATTAGAGGAATCGAAAGATAGTAAATTCTGAGTAGTACCTTTGACTATCAATACAACGTAGTACACATCCATTTGTTTGCCACAAGTTTTTTAAGAAATCTGAAAAAATCAAAGAAGAGCGAATCATCCTTCACCCTTATGACAACAAACACCAGCTCCCACACGGCGGCTCCAAAATTGGCATTTTGACTAGTCAAAAAGTTGAATTAATGTCACTCCCATACAGCCCTGATTTGGCCCCTAATGACTACTTTTATTCCCAACTATCAAAAACAAACTACGAGGACAATGATTGTTGACACCCAAAGAAGCTGTCGAAGCATTCAAATTGCTTGTTTTGGAGCTACCAAGTTCAGAATGGAAAAAGTGCTTTGGAAACTGGTTTATATGCATGAAAAAATGTACAAGTCTTAATGGGGAATATTTTGAAAAACAATAAAACTGATTTTATTTATATATGATTGTGTTTCCTTTAATAGGCTAGAAACTTAAATAGCAACCCTCGTATGAATTAATGTTTTGTTTGAAAATAAAATATAGTTATGTACATAAAATAAAATAGGCCTACATGAAATACATGCCTGATTAGTGATTACTCACACAATATATTCAAATCTTGATTTATTAAAAAACCTAAATATATCTGTGATAGACAGATCTGTGATAGCTGTGATAGAACCTGACAGAAACCCACTGGTGCTATCGTGCCACCAACACACACCACTGACGAACACGATATCACCCCCTCTCTTCCTCCATCTTACAGTCAGAAGATTTAGTTTTTTTATTATTAATTGATTTGTGGGTTTTATTTAACTTTTGTAAAAATATTTAAGGCCAATAAATTTACTAGTGTTAAAAAGTTGGGCCTAAATAATTTTATCAATAGGGGTGTCTAATGTTTGTTTAATAACCTTGTTTAAATATTTCTGTTAGGTTTTTATTTTATAAAAGGATGAGGCTTGCAGATAAATAAGCTAATTGTTTTTTTGTTTTATGTTTTATACAGAGTGATGAAAATAGAATTTGTTTGTGTGAATAAACCTTCAGAACTACAATGCAAAATTGTATGGGTGTAATGATCTTTTGTTGTAAAATAATTGTTTTATTCTCACAGGTCTACAGTTATGAGGGGAGAATTTCCTTCACTTCACATACTCCTGGTGAACACGGCTTATGTTTGTACTCAAACAGCACCAAGTGGATCGGAGGCACACAATTGGTATGCTTCATTCTTTGTCCTATTTCCAAATAAAAAGCTTTAAATGCTATTCTTTAGGTAATCATCAGTTTTTTCACTAAAAGACTCAGACATGAGTGTTGAAGAGATTGAGCTCAGTCTTGTCAGGACTGGGACGGTGGCGTCGTCCTGTAATCCAGCTACTAGGAGGTCACATATTGTGGATATTTATAGGCATGCACTGTGGATGTGATACTCCCTGGTGTGGATTAACGTCCGCACTAGTGAGTACTACGACTATCCGCAGTACTATCCTGATAATTAGACCAATTCGTTAATACCAAGGCAAAAATGTGGTTCGGATTCCAACATAAACTGTAGGTCCCTTAGTTGCCATTGGCTGTATGGGCTCCTATTAATTAACAGCTGTGTCTAAGGAACTGGAACATGTCGGCCTTAGTCATTAACAAGACTACAAGATCGTGCCACTCATCCTACACTAATATTTGGGTTAATATTTGGGTTACGCACATAGTGGCGTCCCCATCTTGAATAATTAGTTTAATTGAAAATCCTTTTTACTTTCTCCCCCTATACCATAGTATACGGAGAAAGTATTGTTTTCGTCAAAATTTTCGAGTTAGAGTTTGTGAGTGGATATATTCGTAGTGGTTTTAGGAAGTGATGTCTGTGTGTCTGGATGTGTACAGAGCTAGGGACTACACCTGTGGTCCGATTTCGATGAAATTTGGTATGTAGGTTCTAATCCATGGTATCTCCAGGTGTTTTTTTCATTTTTTCAAAATTTTTATTTTTGATGGGGATTTTTCCATAAAAACCGGAAGAATCGGATTTTCTCAAAAATGGCCCGAACGATTTTGATAAAAATTTAGTATGTTGTAGCCCTTTAAATTCTGAACAAAATGGTACAAATCCCATTTCTGTAAAAATTACGGTTCAAAAGTTATTGTAAATTATGTTATTTTCCCATAAAACCCCATAAAAGACAAAAAATAGGATTTAAAAAAAAATCCGGTTTTGATTTAACGTAGTATGTTATGGTCCTTACAATTTTGATAGTTTTTCATTTTTTAGTAATTTTGATTTTTAATGGGGATTTTCCCATAAAATAACGGAAAAAATAGGACTTTTCCAAAAATTGCCCGAACGATTTTGATAAAAATTTAGTATGTTATAGTCCTTTAAATTCTGAACAAAATTGTACGATTCCCATTTCCGTATATTTACTCTCCCCGCTTACACATGATAAAGGTTGTTGACAAACTTATGGGAGAAAGTATGTGTCAGAATGCTGATACCGTTTATTTTAGAATAATCTGGCCCTATAATTGTAACATATTTTGAAATAAAACTCAAATCATTGTATATACAGTTTAAGTGCAAGAACATTTAAATTGGTATCGTTGGAATATGAAACAACGCATTGCTTTAATTGCAACAAAATTATTTTTATTGGTGGGAAAGGCTAGGCAGATACTACAGATTCGTTGGAGGGATATGATAAATGTTATTATAATTCAGATACTTTGAGACTAGATATGTTTTCAATATCTTAGTCCCTACCATATCTCACTTAGAGCACAAAAAACATACTACTATAACCCAGAATGCCAACCGCATGGTAAAAAGCATTAAGTGTTTTGAGAGAGCTTTGCCTGTCAATTCGTAGGCAACGCCACCAGCGTTGCCATGCTGGTGACGCTACCTTGCTTTGTTCTGACAGGCAAAGCTCTCTCAAAACACTTAATGCTTTTTACCATGCGGTTGGCATTCTGGGTTATAGTAGTATGTTTTCTGTGCTTAGAGCAAAAATAGGGAGGGAAAAATTCTCATTTTATACGCATGTTTTTTTCTAAGAAGTTACTTTATAAAAAATAAACTAGAATATTATAAGCAGAAAAAAGTAGGATACAAAGTGTCAGTTAGGTTTGCTATGTGTTACAGAGAGTACACTTAGACATCCAGGTTGGTGAACATGCCATTGACTATGCAACTGTAGCTCAGAAGGACAAGCTTACTGAACTGCAACTCAGGGTGAGGCAGTTGCTGGATCAGGTCGATCAAATTACCAAAGAGCAGAGCTATCAGAGGGTAAGCTATAACAAATATTTTATCTTCAAAGCTGGTCTATATGGTTTATTTTTGTTCATTAAAATTATTGATTAGATAACCTATAATATTCAATTGTTTTGTTTTGACATTTCCTGCCAAAAATTGCTGTGTTATAGTTTACTTAAAAGGGCAATTTTTCCTGTTTATGATCAGGTTTTACTCAAAACAAAAGCATTTCAATGTTTCAATTTGTTTTCTTTTATTTTCAATGTATTCAGTTTGAAAATGCTTTGCAAATTAAGAAACATTTTTGTCACATTGCTTTAAATGATTCTTTTAGAAATTTTGTACGGATAAACTTGTGTTTTCTTTAACATCTCTCTGTTTTGAAATTAAGGTTAAATTTGTTGCAAAATATTCCAAATTATTATTATTCAGTTAATTGTTCTAAGTGAACAATAAAGCGGCTCTATCGTCTCAAGGTAACATATTTGCCATGTATAAATCCTCAAGTTCATAGCCATGCAATGTGTTATGAAATATTTACTGTATAGGCAAAGTAATTGAAAATCACATTGATGTGTTTAAAATTTTGTTTTAGTATCGAGAGGAAAGATTCCGATTGACAAGCGAGAGCACAAACCAAAGAGTGTTTTGGTGGTCGCTGTCGCAGCTTTGTATCCTGCTCGTAATGGGTGTCTGGCAAATGAGGCATCTCAAGAGTTTCTTTGAGGCCAAGAAACTTGTTTAACTTGTTGACAAGTTGTCTGCAGGTTGGAATCGGTGTAATTGTGTTCTGAATAAGTTTTTTATTTTAATTTATACAAGTTCATGCAGGTATTGTACTTTAAGTTTCACCCCTTTATGTAAATTTTGGATGTAAATAAAAAACAAAGTTATGTGTGTATGTCAAATTATCAAAAATATATGCGTGGTTTTTTGAAATTCTTAGTATGTTTGTTTATGTATCCTGACTATATTTCCTATCAATCAATATTGTTTAAGATAGACTTAACATGAAAGTCAAAGTTCCAAGGTAACCACAGTCAGCGTGCAGTTTATACTTTCCGTCTAATAAAGATGGTCAAAATCATACATTTTCATAACTCGATACTGAAACTAAAAAAAATCCAAACCCGAATCAAAAATACTTGCCTTGATTAAAAAAATTCCATGTACCCAAGACACTTGCTAATCAATTTCATTTGGGACATTGGTGGTGCCGGATTATTGAAAATGCCGTGTTACTGAACGCCTTTTAAACAGCCCTTATTCTGTACATTTCAGTAAGACTTAATGTGTGTTCTAGGCACAACAAACAATGCAATATCCTTCCTTAACTACTTTAAAGCTGAACATTCAGAAAAAAATTGACCGTATGAAAATTACAATAATATGAACGTTTGTTCAAGACAAGGATTAGATTTAAAACATTACTAATTTACAATATTTAAAATGTGTCCCCCTACTATAGATCCACACCATAAAAACTAATTAGTTTACCTACCACAATTAGGCTAAAACTCTATCAATTAAAGAAACCTATTTAACCCTTACCACTCTCGTTTCGGCCATGAGTTGACATCGGCCGTTTCGCAATCCTATCACGTGTCGGCTTCAAAAAACAAAATTGTAAAAAAATACCCCTGCTGCAGCAAATCTGCAGACTAAGCGAATGTCAACTTGTCTGATTACATTTTTACTCAAATATTTCCATATATAAAACATATTTATTCCCGAATTAAATAACATTAGATTTAACGAGTGTTAAAGTTTGCTCCTAAGGGGAAGGTAAAAAGTGTTTTTTGACCATACGTCAATAGTATAGGATGAAATAAATAAATTTGCCAAATTTTATCAATATATATGATATGCATAAACAAGTAAACTACAACAGTTTTCAGTTTCTCCATAAGAGTAACATGGAAATTTTAAATTGAACTTTTTTTTAACTTTCTCTGTAACCGTTAGGCATACAAAAGCGCTTCATTATACTAAATTATTTACTTTTTTAAGCTCTACAAAATGGTTTGGAAATAAATTGCAAAATGTTTTGTTTTCAGGGTCAAAAATGAAAAAAAAACCCAATTTTAGCCCATAAACCCCGGTTCCCATGGTCGGATCATGCTGGTTCGCGAACTCATTCGAAAAATGTAGTCTTACATGTTTGTACCGAATTTCATCAAAATCGGATCATTTTTTGTATATACTGAAATGCATGCCAGAGTGAGGCAGAACCAGGGGTGAACCAGTCAACCGCACTAAGGGGCGGTTCACAAGCTCGGGACTTCATAGTCCGCGACCAGACGTTGGTCCCAGACTATATAAGCGACGACCAACACATGTGGAGCCACTGCTGCTGACATACGCACTTCCATACAATAGGATGATCGTGAAAAAGGCTGAACCAAAACATCCAAAACGATTAGTTTTCTCGTATTTCATTGTCCCAATGCTCGCCTATGATAATCTATCTACGTTTATTGATTTATAAACACAACAATCCACGTTTGTATGGAATCAGATAATGAAGTCTTTAGTGAAATATATTTTTCTGTGTGCATTATTATAATTCAATTAAGATGCATGACATAAAATAACCGGATATTTATAACCGGATGAATGCCTATTTTGCATAAATGCCCGATAATTTAGGATGGTGATTTTTGATAAGGATAATTTTAACTAAACTTATTTAAATGGTACAATTATTGAAACTAAAATGTATTTAGAGGTACTGATTATTAGATATAAAAATCGTATGTGTGTGCTGGATTTAATCGTGGCTGTAACCTAAGAATATTCATTCCGTTATTCTTACACTCTTTAATAATCTAACTTTATAATGTTGAAAATAATATTCTGCAGTTAGCTCGTAAAATTATTTATGTTAACAGCTATGGTTTTTAATTTACAAAAACTTCTTTAATTTACGTTTATATTTAGGAAAACATTGTTTTTTTTCTTTGGGCATAGTTTCGAACTGAAAATTTGATTTGTTCTGCTTTTATTACCAAACAAATAGCTACCATCCAAGCTTTACTAACATCCAATAAATCACCAGTTTCTTGATGAAAAGTGCCATCAGCCAAAAATATTAGTGCAACTAACGTTTTTTTTCCCAATTTAGAATACTTTAATGGATTTTGTTGTCGGGAAATCCGTGCCTTGGAGTGAACGCCTCAAATGACTCATTGACGGCATCTTTGGAACATTTTAATCTATCTTTAAATTCATCAAGTCATAAAAGGGTTTTAGTCATAATAACGAGCTGGTCCTATGCGAGGTAGTGGAGTGATGGTACATAATTGTTAACATAATACAGTATAGATATTTCATAGTCATATTCAATACACACGGCGACCAGTGATTACAACCTGGAGTACAACCCTGTGGTACAACACAAGACGGTGATACCACCGCGAAACCATACTCAACGACTGACGGTTTGCTTGATGTTTCCCACAGCAAAAAACTATTTCTGATAATTATGTTGGATAACGATGGTTTAACTGTGGCTGATTAGTTATATTTATATTCTACGCATAATTTTGTCGTTAAAATTGTAATAATTGGGGGTATATCAGTAAAATATATTTTTCTTATGATACTACTTTGTTACGTGCATAATTTATCCCGTTTTAAGTTGTTTGATGTTTTTTCATGTTTTATGAGCCTTTTTACCATTTTTACATATTTTTTAATATGGTGTTGTGGGTAATGAAATTGTTCAGAATTTAATGAGGAACTATATTTAAACATAAGTTTTTAACAAATAATAAAAATAAAGGAGCTAATTAGGTAAAACCCGCATCATGTCACCTTAAACCTGCCTCCTACCAGGTCTGAGTTGGAGACCAAACACCATTGTTCTTTTGGGCCCGAACTATCTCATCTGGGCTCGGACTTGACTCGTGAACCCACCGGGACTAATGATCAGAGCCGGGACTATCTGTAATTGGACTCGTGAACCCAACTTTTAAAACCGGGTTTTATCCCTGCACTAATTGTGTGCCGCCTATCAGTTTGGTCCGCGGCTTATATAGTCTCGAGCTCGTGAACCCGATTTTTAAAGTCGCGGCCCAAATACCGGTTATTTCCGGATTCTGGGCTCGAACTACGATAGTCCCGAGCTCGTGAACCGCCCCTAATAGTCTTATCCCTTGAGTCTATTGTGCGTTGTTGGAGCTGCTCCGGCAGCCGGTGACCTGGCCAGTGAGTCATACTTCTAGCTCTACTATCTCTGAGCAATATTTCTTAATTGAAGAAAATATACAAATCTGATGGTATGAATGGATGTATTTTAATCTACTGATCATTTTGATACCAAATTTGAAGCTATTTTTTGTTATTATCTAATATTGTGCCATTGTGCCTTATTTTATAAGGTCATAAAACATCATATACTCACATCAAATTTGGTATCAAAATGATCAGTAGATTAAAATACATCTATTAATACCATCAGATTTGTATATTTTCTTCAATTAATAAATATTGCTCAGAGATAGTAGAGCTAGAAGTATGACTCACTGGCCAGGTCACCGGCTGCCCGAGCAGCTCCAACAACGCACAATAGACTCAAGGGATAAGACTATTAGTGCGGTTGACTGGTTCAACCCTGGTTCTGCCTCACTCTGGCATGCATTTCAGTGTAGAGTTATCGTGCTAACGGACACATATATTATTTATATATATGAATTTGGACGGATGGCGTTTTTGCCCTCTGGGGACCTCAACACAAAATAATAAATCGGTCTCGGGTCCAGGTCTTACCATGAGACCTTCGGTAATAAATTATTCCCTATATGGAAATTTGGCTAAATTAAAAAAAAATGTTTTGGGAAATTTAATTTTTATTGAAGTGTAATTTGTCCTGCATACTAAATTAAACCTAGGGCATAGGTCATAGGCCCTTAAAATTAATAAATGAATAAATGAATTTATTTCCATTGAGTACAAACTTATTACATGCATTGACAGTACTGTATTTGGAAATTGACTGGCCACTTTTAAAGTATTGCCAGTTAGAACAAATAAATACAATGTTCAGTTTCACAGCGATATTTTAAAACTAAGCTGCTTGCAGTTGACTCTTGTTTCTCAAATCGTTGGAAAAAGTGTTAGTATTTATTTTTATAATCTACAACAGCCACCTGAGGTCTGAGATGCCTGAGGACACTGTTTTAGTTGGGTACGTAGAAGACGTTGCGGCTTTAATAGCTGCACATAGCGTTGAGATTGCCCAGCTGATACTGAATTGAGTCATGTGCACCATTAATGCATGGATGGTAGACAACGGTTTCTTGCTCGCTTTGAGCAAAACTGAGATTGTGATCCTGACTGAACAGAGGATTGACACCATTGTGCCATTGAGGGTGGGGAACGTTGAAGTCCAAAACGTCTGTGCCACCAAGCACCTAGGTCATGGTGGACAGCAAGCTTAGCTGGCGGGACCAGATCTTCTGTACAGCGGACAAAGCCGCTAAAGTGGTTTCTTCCCTTAGTCAACTAATGGCCAATGTTTGCGGTCCAGTCCGTACTTCTGTACGGTGCAGAGATGTGGGCAGACGCAATCAATAAGGAGCTTTACAGGATGCGGCTTGCCCAAGTGCAGCGCAAGGCAGCACTCAGGATAGCAACTACCTACCGAACAGTGTCCGGACCTGTCATCCTGGTGGTGGCCGGAGTCATCCCCCGTCACACTTTTGGGTGTAAATTTAAGGGTTTTGAATTTTGGAACGGGCAGTGACACTTACTTGCTATAAGATTTGCCAATTTTAACCAGCTCTTTGTCAATAAAATATTTACAAATTGTGTAGTAATTAACAAGAAGGATATATTTGATAAACTAAAGAGGGCAATGGCAAATATTATAATTTTTCTTTTCTCTTAGTGTAAAATATACTTAATTAGCTTCAAAGGAAAGAGGCCTTCCCATAATGAAGCTATTGGTTTTTTGTATCTTTTTTATGTGACATTTATAACAATCAATGATTGTTTATACACCACATTACCATTAGCTTTAGTGTTCAATATGAGAGTTAATAGAGATTATAAAAAACAGTGTCACATACCTTTCAATAAGAAAATCCAACACAGGAAGGTAGCAGGGGGAACGGGGATTGGGTGAGCTCACCACGCTGAGGGACACACAAGAAGATCTGGAGGTTCTGATGCACTGCACACACTCGAAAGGGAGAATTTAGTATTATTTTTCACTAATAAGATATAGAGGTTTGAATGTGGGGACACTTCCACCACGAGGTGGTCAAAAGACCGAGAGATTGCCAGAAAAACGGCGCGGCGCGGCACATACGTCCGAACGAGGAAGGTTTTAGACGCTAACTGAATAAAATCATGGTGGGGAAATTTGAATTTTCCATGAGAGGGAAAGAGACAGAGATAGATCACGCCATATGACGTAGGCATCGTATGATTTTAAGGAGAATGTGGGGGAGGGGAATTGCCGTGGTGTGTGTGTGTGTGAGTAGAGTAGAGTACATTTTACAGAATTAAAATAAGTAACTAATATACAACTAAATATTAAACCCTATGTACACTGTTAATTAAATGTCAATAAAATTAAGGAATAATGATGAGACTACTAATTACCCTATTTACAGAACTGTACTGAACATTTAGGATTCGTTTGACCTAACAATTGATTTCCAAAATGTTTGTTTGAAAGTAAATACACTTATTATTAAGCATATTTTTAAAACATAAAATCATAAAGACAGGTATAATAATTTCATGAGTGCATCGGCACCACTCTTAAACCATCTTAGGTAGCCTAAATAAGTGTTCATAGTCTCTGAGTTAACAAAAATGGACTGTTATCAAGTTAAGTGGTGTAGTGGAATTTTGTTTTGAAATTAAATGGAGGTCGAATCAACCATTTTACGGCATTTTTAAGGAACCAAAATTGTCTCTTCTGCATCATGACCCCGTTGTGGCTAACGTCAACCTTAGCCAAATGACAAATAATATATGGGTCTAGTAAGGATCTAAAGAATACTTTCCAATTCAGAAGACCTTCAGATTTGAAGGCAAGCATAGTATAACCACTCGGCTACCCAGACCATTAATATTATAAGTACTGTAACATAACAAACTGTGATTAGATTTCTGAATTTCTAATCAACCATTTATTTAGATAGGTAACCATAATAATGTGATTCTTTGTATTTGCTGAGTAGAACGTTTAAACAATATAAAGGTGCCAAAACAATTTGAACCAAAAATATAAATAATCCTTCCACAGCCTTTAGGGCTTTTCCTTAAAATACAACCTGAATGTCAATTTGAGTCAGTTTTTAGTTAGAAGTAGGAGTCCCAATTCTATTTTTAGAAGAAACCTTGAATGAGTTGAATGCAAGTATTGTTGTATCACGCTCAGGTTGGAAAGTGGCCAAAGCCAAAAGAAGACATTACAAATTCAATATGTGCAATCTGTGACTAACTCTTATGTATCAATCATCAGTGTTCAGTGTTAATTGCAGTGATGCCATTCCAAACTGATGCCACAAAGCTGTCACTGGCCTCAGGTGTCTCTCATTAGCTCTGGTAATTGACATGTGAGTATACAAATGTTACATCCACCATTTTCATTTTATTTAACCTAACTTTCAAACTGATCAACAATAAAATAATGGAGAATTTCCATTAAAAAATTATAGCAAGACCAAAACTACCCCCGCCGCAGCAAACCTGCAGGCTAAGCGAATTTCCATTTAGGTACCTGATTGGATTTACACTAAAATATCTCCTTTAAAATATCACATCTTTAAAAATCCTTTTATTATTATTCCCTATTTAAATAGCATTAGTTTAACGAGTACTTAGGTTTGCTGCAACAGGGAGGGTATAAAAGTGCTTATTGAAAAATGTGAATAATTTTAGCAAAATAAATGCATATTCCAAATTTTATCAAAATATGTTCATAAACGAGCAAACTACAACAGTTTACTTATTCTCCATTAGAATAGCATTGGAACTTGGAGTTTTAAATTTATAATTTTTGGGAATTTTCTCCGTAACTATTAGGCGCATAACAACGCTTCATTATAGGCTATTATTTTTTTTTAGCTCTACAAAATGGTTTGGAAATAAATTGCAAACTGTTGTTTTTAGGGACAAAAAATGGGAAAAACCAATTTTTTCCACACAAAACCTACCATAAACCCTCGTTCCCATAGTCTGTTCATGCTAGTTCGTCAACTTGTTCGAATAATTGTAGGTTTACACGTTTGTACTAAATTTCACCAAAATCGGATCATTTTTGCTTGAGTTATTGTGCTAACGGACACACACACACACACACACATATATATATAAATGAATTTGAACGGATGATGTTTTTGGCCTCTAGGGACCTCAAAATGAAAAAGTAAATCCGTCCCGGGTCCAGGTCTTACCGTGAGTACTATGGTAATAGCTTATTCCCTATATGCGAAATTCTGTTAAAGACTAGTAAACTAAACTTGAAGAATATGAATGATTCCAAGGCCTGAATAATGAATGTAGAACCCAGTCGTCACCTAGTTTTGGGCTACACTTCATCAATTATAGCTACTTCAGGCTTGATATATTGACATAAGCTTGTTAATATAAAGTAATATATTATATTACTAGCTGGCCCGACAGACATCGTCCTGTCCTATGTGGTTTTATGTCAAATGCTCGTTCATTTTCAAGATGAGCTCGTTCGCATGACTCAATCACGTCCTGGTCGAAGTTCGTTTGCTACGCTCACTCACCTTTAGGTTGGAGCTCGTTCGCTGCGCTCACTTGCCTTTAGGTTAGTTCATTCGCTACTCTAACTCGCCTACAGGTTGAAGTTTGTTCGCTACGCTCACTCACTTTTTGGTTGCAAATTAGCTGTTGTCATAAATTTAAAAAAATAATAGTGCTGCACCCTGTTGGTAAACCTATTAACTTTTTAATGCTATTGAATATCACAGAATCAAATTGTTTAGTTGAACCAACTGTTAAGATTCTTTAATTGCATTTAAATATGAGTACTCATAAGGTTAACATGGGAAACTCCAGAGCCACTGGGGCGGAACCCTTTTGATGGATCTGCATCAAACTTCACACAGACCATCCTTGAATAATGTTTAATAATGCCTGAAAGTTTCATTATAATCTGTCGAGCGGTTTCAGAGTCCATGAAGGACAAACAAACAAACAAACATACATTAGATTTGATATACAGGGTGAGTTTTAATTGTCCCCCCCCAACTTTTTTCTACATTTTTTCAAATATCAATCCCAAACCACTTCCAAACATTGTTGGGTAGTAAGTACTTCATTTTGACAAGGTGGTCATTTCCGGCCGCCATCTTGGATCCGCCATATTGGATGCAAAATTTTTTTTTTCAAATGTAAAGGTGGGGTTGTGACCCATTATTCCGAACTAGATTTTTACCCTGATTACAATGCCGCAAACTGTTTTTAAAAATCTTGATTTATTCTTAAGTTATGAGGGCTTTTTAAAACTTTATTTTTAGCCCATTTTAACATTGTGCATTTAAAAACTAAGACCATAATCTCAAAATAGTGCTAGGTAAAGATAAGTATACACTACCAGTAATTGTTGACCTATTTTCACTTGGTTATGACTGATGTATTTTTTTCGGCTGCCATTTTGAAATGTGATAAATTATTTTAAATATGAAGGGGGTGTTGTGACCCATCATTTCGAACTACTTTTTTAAGCTAAACTCATTGCCGCAATCCATTTTTTGTTATCAAGTTTTATTTATGAAATATTGCAATTTTTTTGTTAAAAAATGTCAATATTTAAAAATCAAAAAATGAAAATGAAAAACGGATCATGGAATTAAGTTCAGCTTAAAAAAGTAGTTAGAAATGATGGGTCACAACACCCCTTTCATATTTAAAATAATTTATCACATTTCAAAATGGCGGATCCAAGATGGCGGCCGAAAAAAATACATCAGTCATAACCAAGTGAAAATAGGTCGACAATTACTGGTAGTGTATACTTATCTTTATCTAGCACTATTTTGAGATTATGGTCTTAGTTTGTAAATGCACAATGTTAAAATGGGCTAAAAATAAAGTTTTAAAAAACCCTCATAACTTTAGAATGAATCAAGATTTTTAAAAACAGTTTGCGGCATTGTAATCAGGGTAAAAATCTAGTTCGAAATAATGGGTCACAACCCCACCTTTACATTTGAAAAAAAAATGTGCATCCAATATGGCGGATCCAAGATGGCGGCCGGAAATGACCACCTTGTCAAAATGAAGTACTTACTACCCAACAATGTTTGAAAGTGGTCTGGGATTGATATTTGAAAAGATGTAGAAAAAAGTTGGGGGGGGGACAATTAAAACTCACCCTGTATATAGATTATTGCAGGTTAGGTCAATATAAAAAATTGTGTTTAAAAAGGAAGAAGCTGGCTCTTCTAAAATCATTAATAATTAATTCAAGCTGTAAAGTTAGGATTAACTACATCAACATTAACAGTCAACCAAACTTATGTCCAGTCCACTGAAAACCCTCTAATTTTTGCCTAATAATTATTTTTTACCACAGAATTAGAGTATTAGAAGTTATATAAAGTGATCCGTAAAATAAAGGTATTGGTATTATTTACTCGTGCACCAGTTTAAGCAGGTTTAAATTTATCAGTATTAACATGTAATGTTTTAGCTTTGTTCTATGTACCAAGGTTTGACTATAAGTGTTTCATTTACAGTATAAGTACACAACATTGTAATTTTCTTGTAGAATTCTGCCACCTACGAGTACGACCTCAGCCACTTGGTCAAACGTAGTTTCTTGTTGTCATCAAAGTGCTGTGCTGCTAACCAAGTTTTCATTTCTCAAAAACAAGTGAAAGTCACTCGGAGCAAAACTGTAGGGTGGTCGAGGGAAAATCTCCCATTTGAATGAACGAAGGAGATCTTGTGTGCGATTTGTTGTGTGAGATCAGACATTGTCATGCTATAAAAACCAAATTTTGGGCGTCAAATTTTATCAAATTGTTTATATTGCCTGTCCGTCAGTGATCCTATTGTTGTCGTCTTATGCGACCGGTTTCAGGATCAAAATCCCATCATCAGGCTGTTAAAAATGTAAAAAAGTGATGGGATTTTAATCCTGAAACTGGTCGCATAAGACGACAACAATAGGATCACTGACGGACAGGTAATATAAACCCTTTTATTCAATAAGTGATCCTGGGCCACTAAGCATAGTCAAATTTTAGATTGGTAATTTTTAAACTTAATGTACCATTTCTAAACAGAACATCAATTTATTACATTGTTTCTGTATACTTTACACGCCTGAAAATACATTTTGATTCCTAATACGTTTTTAGTTTTTGCTCACCAAAAACCATATTACAGACCGCACTTCACAGCTGGATTTGCAATTAAAGAACACATTATTCTTGAATATTACAACACTTCTACTGCGACAGCTGGAAGAGGCGAACACGTTTCTACTTGAAGGTGCACAATCAGCGCCTTCAGATGGAAACTTTCTATATTCTGGATAGCCCTCGTATTAGCCATATTAACAATATAGAGGAAATAATCCAATCTGCATTTTATTCTAGCTGGGAGTTTATAGAAGAACATTTTTAATTTGATGTCTTGTCTTCCTAGGTATCCAGTTCCATGTTTTTTTTGTTTTTGTTTTTTTTGTAGTAAAGACAAGTTTGATTGATTAAAGACTTAAGATTGATCAAGACTTTATTGAATAAAGTATGGGTTCTGGGTTTCAGGAGGTCTGTACAGCGATGTGGCCATCCAAGTTATATAGTAATGTACAGGCACAAAGTCAGCTCTTCAACAAATGGGAGGAAGACCATATCCTGGTCAGTACAAATTATGAACTCTTAGATATACTTTAAGTTAGCGTATGAAAGTACATTATACAAGAATTAACCGTAAATTAAAATCTCCATTGAGCTCCTTTCCTGACCTAGCGCGATAGCCCAATTAAACCATACCAAAAGCCTTGTCCTTTGCTAGTTAGAGGTCTTGTTATAGTAACTAAATAAATTGTTTTTGTAGTTAAATGTAGCATAATATGAAATAAATACATTTTTTAAATTGATCAAAATATATTTTTATAAGCAAACTACAACAGTATACTAAATCTCCATGAACAACATGGGAATTTTAAATGAACAGTTTTTTTTCTTCTCATTGCATGACAACGCTTCAATTTTCCTATTTTGAGCTCTACAAAACAGTTTGGAAAGAAATTGTAAGTTTTTATGTTTTTAGGGTCAAAAATGGGAAAAACCCATTTTTACTCGACAAATACCCCATAAAACTCCCGTTTCTATAGTCCGATCATGCTGATTTGCAAACTGGTTCAAATAAATGTAGGTATACACGTCTATACAAAATTTCATCAAAATCGGATCATTTTTGCTCGGGTTATCGTGCTTACGGACACATAAATATACGCCCGCCACAGCAAACCTGCAGACTAAGCGAATTTCCATTTGCCTGATTTGATTTTGAATTAAATCTATTTCAATACCATTAGGATTAATGAGTACCTAGGTTTACTGCTACAGAGAGGATAAAAGGGTAATAAGTTTTCTTTTAAAATATTAATAGCTTAGTTTAAAATAAAAAAGAAATTGCCAAGTTTGATGAAAATGTATCCATAAACAAGCAAACTACAACAGATTACTCTCTATAAAAATAACATGGGAATTTTAAATTTACAATTTTTGAATTTTCTCTGTAACTAATAACCATAAAACACACATACTAAATTATTTGTTTATTTTTACAGCTTTTGTTAGTCATAAATTGGCAAAGGAATCCACACCTTTTATTTAGATCACACAAAAATAAACATAAACACAGCTTAACCCTTAGAGTGCCAGGCGAGAAATAAAAGTAACGCTCAAAAAATGCCGATGATTTTTCCCGAAGGTCGCGCTAAAAATGCCGAGCGCGATCTAGTGATTTTTAGGTTAAAATTTCGTAAAAATCGAATTTTCGATATTTCGACCAACGAAAATCGATGTATTGCATCTAGTAACTTTCGACTCAATGTTAATATATGGGTTAAAAGAATCCGAGTATCCATTCGGTTGTTATGACAACTGTTCGATCATTACGAAACGTCCGGTCAGCCGGACGTTGGCACTTTTGGTTCGTTCTAAAAACGTCCGGTCGGCCGGACGTCGGCACTTTTGGCTCGTTTTAAAAACGTCCGGTTCCCCGGACGTTGGCACTCAAAGGGTTAATATAAATACCCCTGCCACAGCAAACCTGCAGACTAAGCAAATTTCCATTTGCCTGATTGGATTCTCACTAAAATGCCTCCTTAAAAATATCACATTCATTCCCTACTAGTAGAGTACCTGTCCTTTGTACGGGGTTGGAATATAAGATAAAATTCTTATTGCAGTTATACTCAAGCTTTGCGTTTGCAATAAGGGAGGACACAGTTTAATCAAATTTGCTTTTTTAAATTTACAGTATTTTATAGTATTACACATCTACCATAGCCATAATGTTCTACCACTTCACCTAAACAATAGAGAAAAAAAATTATCAACAATTCGCAAAATATCACAAATTATTCATGAAATGAAAAACATAAACATAACTGTAAACAATCCTACTTTGACAGTTCTCATTGCGAATCACAGTTTTTTGTTGCTGCTTAGTTCAAATTAGCTGTTTTCATAAATGCAAAATAAACGGTATCAGCATTCTGACACATACTTTCTCCCATTAGTTTGTCAACAACCTTTATCATGTGTAAGCGGTGAGAGTAAATATACGGAAATGGGATTTGTACAATTTTGTTTAGAATTTAAAGGACTATAACATACTAAATTTTTATCAAAATCGTTTGGGCCATCTTTGGGAAAATCCGAATTTTCCGTTATTTTATGGGGGTTTTATGGGAAAATAACATAATTTACAATAACTTTTGACCGGTAATTTTTTCAAAAATAGGATTTGTACCATTTTGTTCAGAATATAAAGGACAATAACATACTAAATTTTTATCAAAATCGTTTGGGTCATTTTAGGGAAAATCCTTTTTTCCGTTATTTTATGGGTTTTTATGGGAAAATACCCATTAAAAATCAAAATTTTTAAAAATGAAAAAAACGCCTGGAGATACCATGGATTAGAACCTACATACCGTACCAAATTTCATCGAAATCAGACCACAAGTGTAGTCCCTAGCTCTGTACACATCCAGACATATAGACACACAGACACACACACACACGCACACACACAGACATCACTTCGCAATCCACTTTTTTGGGTCCAGAGGGACCCAAAACAAATATATCCACTCAAAACTCAAACTCAAAAATTTTGACGAAAACAATACTTTCCCCATAGGCCTATACTATGTTATAGGGGGAGAAAGTAAATAAATGGTATCAGCATTCTGTCACATACTTTCTCCCATAAGTTTGTCAACAACCTTTATCATGTGTAAGAGGTCAGAGTGACTATACTGAAATGGGATTTGTACAATTTTCTTCAGAATTTAAAGGACTATAACATACTAAATTTTTATCAAAATCGTTCGAGCCAATTTTGGGAAAATCTGATTTTCCGTTATTTTATGGGTTTTTTATGGGAAAATAACATAATGTACAATTTTGAACCGTAATTTTTACAGAAATGGGATTTGTACCATTTTGTTCAGAATATAAAGGACTATAACATACTAAATTTGTATCAAAATCGTTCAGGCCATTTTTGGGAAAATCCTATTTTTCCGTTATTTTATGGGGTTTTATGGAAAAATCCCCATTAAAAATAAAAATTTCCAAAAAAAGGAAAAAAAACTATCAAAATTGTAAGTACCATAACATACTACTGTATGTTAAATCAAAACCGGATTTTTGTGTAAAATCCTATTTTTTGTTATTTTTGGGGTTTTTATGGGAAAATAACATAATTTACCATAACTTTTGAACCGTAATTTTTACAGAAATGGGATTTGTACCATTTTGTTTGTGCCAATTTTGGGAAAATCTGATTTTCCGTTATTTTATGGGGTTTTATGGGAAAATAACATAATTTACAATAACTTTTGAACCGTAATTTTTACAGAAATGGGATTTGTACCATTTTGTTCAGAATATAAATGACTATAACATACTAAATTTTTATCAAAATCGTTCGAGCCAATTTTGGGAAAATCTGATTTTCCATTATTTTATGGGGTTTTTATGGGAAAATAACATAATATACAGTAACTTTTGAACCGTAATTTTTACAGAAATGGGATTTGTACCATTTTGTTTAGAATATAAAGGACTATAACATACTAAATTTGTATCAAAATCGTTCGGGCCATTTTTGGGAAAATCCTATTTTTCCGTTACCGTATTTTATGGGGTTTTATGGAAAAATCCCCATTAAAAATAAAAATTTCTAAAAAATGAAAAAAAAACTATCAAAATTGTAAGTACCATAACATACTATGTTAAATCAAAACCGGATTTTTGTGTAAAATCCTATTTTTTGTTATTTTATGGGGTTTTTATGGGAAAATAACATAATTTACAATAATTTTTGAACCGTAATTTTTACAGAAATGGGATTTGTACCATTTTGTTCAGAATATAAAGGACTATAACATACTAAATTTTTATCAAAATCGTTCGAGCTAATTTTGGAAAATCTGATTTTCCGTTATTTTATAGGGTTTTTATGGGAAAATAACATAATTTACAATAACTTTTGAACCGTAATTTTTACAGAAATGGGATTTGTACCATTTTGTTCAGAATATAAAGGACTATAACATACTAAATTTTTATCAAAATCGTTCGAGCTAATTTTGGAAAATCTGATTTTCCGTTATTTTATAGGGTTTTTATGGGAAAATAACATAATTTACAATAACTTTTAAACCGTAATTTTTACAGAAATGGGATTTGTACCATTTTGTTTAGAATAAAAAGTACTATAACATACTAAAATTTATCAAAATCGTTCGGGCCATTTTTGGGAAAATCCTATTTTTCTGTTATTTTATGGGGTTTTATGGAAAAATCCCCATTAAAAATAAACATTTCTAAAAAATGAAAAAAACTATCAAAATTGTAAGTACCATAACATCTATAATATTAAAACGAAACAGGGTTTTTTTATTTCACGATTCTAAATCAACCACTCAACGGATTTTCATGATTTTTGTGTTGAAAGAAGGATAATTTTGAGAACTAGGGAATGTCGAAGCCATAATTTTAGTTTAGGGTCCCAGTTATTTAGAAATTAAGTTTTAATTTTTGAAAAGTCTAGCAGCCGACGTTAAGATTCTAAACTAGCTTATGGTGTTATATAATTTGTTTAACATAACAACTGTAAACATTCAGCGTTTGTAACACAAATTCAGCATTTGGATAAAATTAAAAGACATACTAAGGGTTGACTTATTTATACTATGTGTTATGCTAATCATTGATACGTTCAATCCTTCGATAAGAGGATGACAGATTATTTAAATATACATAGGTAAAATACTAGGATGTTCAAAGGATTTTTTAAATAAATCTTTGTAATCTTCGGTTTGTTTTAGTGCAATATAATTTTCTTTTAACTAACAGCTGGTTAAATATAAAAATGCTTTGTAGAACTATGAGGTTATTTTATTTACTCTGATTTGTCATTGATTTTTAGGAAATAAGTAAGATTAGTAGACCACCGAGAAAAGTAACACCATCGATGTACATGTCGAGGCTCTGTACACGAGTCTTAAAAAAAGGATATGCAAACTATTATACTGCTCAACTTTTTTAGGAAAGGGTAGGAAAATCCATTTTTTACACGTTTTAATTCATCTTGGTTTGTTTACAATCAA